GGCCCAGCATTGAATGCACTGGGGTGATGGAACTACTAAATTGCACCTGGAGGGGGTCCCTCTAGGTCAGAGCTCAGGCACATGGGTGGGGACTGAGTGAGGGAGCTCATCCTGTTTGCTTCCCACAGTGCCCACATTCACACTGTCCGCTGGAGACCTCACAGCATCTTGCATAAATGGTGATCGTCATTCTCCATCTTCCAGCAAGGTTAATGGAGACACAGAGGGTCAGAGTGAGAGTTGGGTATAAGAGCCATACTTTGACTCCCAACAGTGGTTCATTCCAGTGGACCACAACTGCCCCTTTCCATCACGCTTACACAGCTTTATCAGGATGATGAACGTGTGGCTGTATAATACACTGGCTGATCATGTCTCCGGCTGGTGCCTGACTCCAGCAAGGCTAGTAGTCTGCTATTTACTCACCCCTAACGCCCTCTCCTTTAGATCAGAGGGTGTCAAGGTGTCTTGCTGTGAAGGTCCCATCCTCGCTGATAGCCATGGTGTATATCACCCCTTTACAGTTACATGTGTCTAAAACCACATCCAGGTTCATGTTTTGACATTCAAATCAGCATCACCGAGAGCTGAGCTCTAAAGGCCAGATTTACAAAGGTATTTAGGCACCTAAAAATACAAATAGGTGCCTAGCAGATCTTATGAAAATACCCAGGTTTGGTACTCAACTCCCAGGGGCAGCACCAGGGCAGCAAGCGCGTGCCTGGGGCAGCAAGCCGCGTTGGGTGGCCTGCTGGTCACTGTGAGGGTGGCAGTCAGGAAGCCTTCGGCGGCGTTTCTGCAGGTGGTCCACCGGTCCCGCGGCTTCGGCAGCAATTCGGTGGTGCGGGACCAGCAGCTCACCCGCAGAACCGCCGCCAAATCCGCGGGACTGGCAGACTTCCTGCAGAAACGCCACCGAAGGCTCCCTGACTGCCACGCTTGGGGCGGCAAAAAACAGAGCTGCCCCTGCCAACTCCCATTGACTTTCAGCACCTAAATACTTTTGTAAGTCTGGTCCTAAGTGCCCAGCACCAAAGCCAATAGGAACTTGATCAGGATCTAAACAATGTACCAAGCAGAATAGGAGCAGGACCGGCGCAACCCATTAGGTGACCTAGGCGGTCACCTAGGGCGCTAACATTTGGGGGGCGGCGGCCGGATCTTCGGCTGCCCCGGTCGGCAGTGGTATTTCGGGGGTGGGACCTTCCGCTGCCTCTGTCGGGGACAGCATTTCAGGGGCGGGACCTTCCACCGCTTAGGGCGGCAAAAAAGCTGGCGGCGCTCCTGAGTAGGAGAAAGAGCATAGAAGACTCCCCAGAAGAATCTATTGGGGAAGCAAAGTGAGAGAGTCAGTTTAAGCAAGCAGCAAATAAGGAGCCGCATGAGCTAGACAAAGAAGAAATGGCAACAAGGATGTGGGGACAGCTACTGATGCATGAATAAGGAAGCAGGGGAAACAGGAGGCACAAGTCACCAGCTGTATAATCCAGTTTTTATTGCATCATCGTATCTATTTTGAACACCAACTATGATCAGTGTATGTCATCCCTGAAAAGTGGTCAGACGGCTCTGCCCAACTGTATTCACCTCCTATACACATCACATTTATGTGACTTGCCCTTTGCATCTCCAGAATTAATCAATTACACATTGCTGCTCAATAGAGTGCAGTGAATCTTGCCTAAAAGCTTTGCACGTGGGCCATAAGTCTATCAGCTGATTGATTCAGGAGTGATAGACATACAATAGGATTTGGGAGATTGGTCTATTTCACTGCAGGTTACCTTCACTCTTGCTCTTGTAACACACAGGAAAACCCCAGTGAGAGGGTTATTACTCTCACTCAAAAGCTGGTAGACTATTTTTACAAACAATAAATCAAAGCGATATTTTAGCCCACTGCAAAAACATTGATCTTGTCTCCTTTGTAGAGTGAGTGGCTTACTCAGCTGTATGTAGTTCATAAATGCAGAGAGAAATGGTCCTTAATGGACACATATCTAGACTTGATAACACTTCCCAGCAGTGTCTGACAGAGCGTTCCACTTTCCTGCTGCTAGCTGACATTCATAGAGTGCTTGTCATCGCAACGCATCAAGAGAGCATCACAAAACACCCTGAAGATTAGCCAGTGATTACTTCATTCACCAACAGGCTGAACTGCAGCAGCTGTTGCACAGTGCATGGCCACGCTTCTGAACAGCTTTAGGGGAGGGAATGAAGAACCCACCAACCTGGAATGGGACCAGGATGCTAATCCCTGGCCTAATATCCTTACTCTTAAGAAAATCAGCAGGTTCTTTAACAATGCCAGGTGAGTGGGACACTGGTGTAACATCTCCCCGAGCCCATCGGCTCACTGCCCCTTACCCTTCAGCTGAGTTATTGCCTCCGCCCCTATTTAGCCCCAGAACTTGCAGAACACAGGCAGCGTCTGCAACCAGAGATTAAACTGAGACTCACAACCAGAGCGTTAATGCCGTGGATCTAACCGCAACCTTGACCAGACAATGACTCCAGGTTACAACAGCACCAAGTTTCAGGAGCCCCCTGAAACTAGCCCTAAAGAAAGGAACGGGGGCTGTGTAACCCACTGGTCAGTGTGTGTTACACATCCTGCTCTGCGCCCGGGCCACGGACAGTGAATGTTGCAGCCCCAGCTACGGAGCCTTTGCTTTTTAGCTTAAACTGTAGCAGCTCATGGTTTAGCTTGGGAGGTCCCAGGTTCAATCAGCAGCTTCCAGGTGGTCGTCAGAGCTGCAACCCTCTGGCCCTGTGTTGCAGTCCCCCTATACTGCATTGATTTCCATATGGCTGAGCGTCTGCATTTCCTTTTGCATCTTCCAGGGCAAAGGCAGCAGTAGTATGTGTGTGTGTGTTACTTGGAACACGGGGAGTGGACAGGGAGATGCTCCAGCTATTCCCAGGGCCTAGCTAAAAGCTTACACCCTCCTGGGGAGGCAGGCTTCCGTGCCATATGCTGCACCTCTATAAACAGCCTAAAAATGATGCAGTCCCCCTAGATCGGAGAAGAACAAGCCACCAGCAGCCATGTTCCTTCCTCCAGCTAAGTGGACTATTTTCATTGCCCCATTAGTGTGGCGTGAGGCCCCTTTGTGCTCATGAGTCACAAATATTGTGTCCATTAAGACTTATGTGCCGAAACTATCTGTGTTTCTCATCAACGAGCCACATGGCCTTAAGGACTGGCTTTTGGCTAGATTGCCTTGATCCTTACATCACCAGTTTGAACACAGCCCAGATTGCTAGCTGCCTGTTTCTCTTTAATTAGATTTCCCCCAGCGTATGAAGCTAACTAATGGGCACCACCCTGTGTGTGGAGGGTATTTCACAGATCACCCCTTTCTCTCTTGGGTAAATGTTGTCCTGAACCAGCCACCCTCTCGGTGGGAGTGTGGGGTTGACGTTAGTGCTTCAGTTACTATGATCCTTCATTGCTGTTCATAGTTACATCAGGGTGTTTGAAGTGTGCCCAGAGGCCTGGATTAGCCATAGCTCAATGGAAACCGCAGTCATTCCTTTCAAAACCTCTCCTTGCTGTGGACCCATTCAAGTCTAGCCATCTCATCAGAACGCTTTTGATTTCATTTGGGGGTTTGTCAGGATAAGGCTTAATCAGAAACAGCTGAACCACTGAGTGATTTCAGAAAGAACACTCATTCAGCTGAAGAGAAATGATCCACCAGTCTCCAGCTGAGAGATCACTGCCTTTGGCCTGAGACTTAGGGTGTCTACACTGCAGAAGGGAGGTACGATTCCCAGCATGCATCGACTAGAGATGCCACTTGCCTATTTTAAATCAGACAGTCCTCTTTGTGGGTGATTTGTACCATATCCAGTACTGAAACAAAACCTGACATGGTTTTGTCCGATATCGGACTGGGGACCCCATTTTGAGGAGCATGCCACTCCACCCCAGCCAGTGTGACTGTAACCCTGCCTTAGTAGGTGACAACTGAAGATGTCAAATTCAGGACGAACTGCTGAGAAACCGGGCAAACACAACCCAAAACTGGTGGTTATTCTTTTATAAGATATACCAAACCAGCCACAAAAGCAAACTCCTGTTTCACCACACTGGCTAAGAAGAAAACAAAGGCAGTTTCCTCAGACGTTCCAGCTTTTATATCACCACCAAAAATACTGGATTCAGAGATGAGAGGTTCTTTACAACCAGTCTCCTCAAATAAAAGGTTCTTCTGATCCCAAAGGACCAGCCACACACCCAGGTCAATATATAACTTAGAGCTTACCCAAAAATCACGCCGATGCCAATCCTTCAGTATCTAAAATCTAACAGTTTATTTATAAAAAGAAAGACAGAAAGGTCAGTGTTAAAATTGGTTAAAGGAATCAATTACATACAGTAATGGCAAAGTTCTTGGTTCAGGCTTGTAGCAGCTGTTGGAATAAACTGCTGGCTTAAGTCTGGAGTACATCCACAGCTTGGATGGGTCATTCAGTCCTTTGTTCAGAGCTTCAGTTTGTTGCAAAGTTCCTCCAGAGGTAAGAAGCAGGATTGAAGACAAAATTGAGGTGTTTCCAGGGCCTTTTACAGCTTTTGCCATGTGGCAGGCATCCCATTGTTCTTATTGTGGAAAATGACAGCAACAAGATGGAGTTTGGAGTCACATGGGCAAGTCACGTGTCCATGCCCAATTTCGCTCAGTCCTTGCAGGAAGCCATTACCTACACTCCAGACAGCACAATTACATGACAGTCCACTCAGTGCAGATGGGCATCTTGCATGGTCCATTGTCAACCATGTGTTTCTTGATGAGCCACTTAATTTGAATAGTCCCTCCAAGATGTGCTGGCTAGCTCCTTTGTGGGCGGTACTGCAGGAGTCAACATTTGAAATCCAGGTATAGAGCCAAACTTATAACTTCAAATACAAACATGATACAGGCATACAGATAGCATAATCCTAACCAGCAACTCAGAACCTTTTCATAGACACCTTGCTTGACAAGATTTGCTGCAAATATATAACAGTGTTTGCAACAATGCTCTATATGTTCATATTTTAATCAGATACTGTCACACTGACGTCACACACATCCCATGCATGCACGGTCATGCTCTTCAAAATGACATTCCCCCACCTGGCCCAACCTCACACGCACCATCACACCAGATGAGGGGGATCCCCGCAATACCCAGAAGTACTGGAACGTCCGGTATGCTGGGAATTCGTCTGTGGCCACCCTAGCGTAGCCAGACACGCACTAACTCGGCTCGTTGCTGCCCAGGCAGCAGCTAAGACTAGCCACTCAAGCCCAAGCCCGCCTTGTTGGGTCCAAGCGTGGGTGGCAGCCCAAGCAGCAGTGTCCACGCTGCTACTTTTAGCAGACTAGCCCAAGTCTGGCTACCCGGACTGGGAATCACAGCCCAGCTGCAGTGCAGACCCTTGACTATCCCAGCACTTTTCACATTTCCGGCTAGATTCACAAGGGGGACGTAGGCATCTAGAGGGGCAGTTAGGCACCTAAGTCCAATATTTAGGTGTCCCGTTCGTTCACTAAACCACCGCTGAGCTGCCGCCTAACCCGATAGTTGTCTCAAGTCCCCATCATGGCACTCAAGTTTCTGTCGGTAAAGTCCCCATGGTGCCTACTTTTCTGCTGGTGGGCAGGTGCAAAGCCACCTACGTCCTGAAACCACTTGGCAGCTCAGTGCCCAACTCACCTCTAAGCCCCAGCTGGATGCACAAACTAGGCTTCTCCCCGCACAGATTGCCTTTGGCTGCGGGGGTGGGGGGTCCTCAGGAGTCTCAGAGCACATCTCGACTGGGGCCCCCACAAACCACAGCTGTGGTGCCTGTAGCAGGGTATTCTGCGGGGGGGCTCTCAATTTCTGCTGCTGAAACTGTGCCACTTTGTATAAATAATTCAATAGCGAGAGGGTCCAAGACCAACGTTACAGCCCAGCGGTCAGGGCCCTCGCCTGGGAGATAGGAGATGTGGGTTCAAGTCCTGGCTCAGCGTCAAAGCTGGGATTTGAACTTGGGGTCTCCCACAGTCTGGTTGAGAGCTCCAGTCAGTGGGGCATTGGGTATGGGGCACCTCTATCTTCTCCTTGGTTTGCCTTGATGAAGGGCTAGCCTGGTTTAGCAGAGGTAGACACCTCCCTCTGGCCTGGAGTTAGTTGCCTAACTCCCTTTGAGGGGTGGGATGTCAGCCCCCTCCCTCTCCTCAGCACTTCCTATTAGCTAGCTTAGGCAGCTCCCCCCTCAGCAGGTTGGCATCTATGAATCCCTTTTAGGCACCTCACTCTCCCCCATGCATGGTAAAAGGAACCTGGGTGTCTGACTTGGGGTTGCAAATTCCACTAGGCGGCAGGGTGCTGAGCGCTGCAACACCTCGGGCCCCCTTGGGAGTCTAGCCCCCACTACACATCAAAAAGTTATTCACTGGGGCCAGATCCTGCAACGTCTGCCTCACACGCGTAACCCCACTGGAGTCCGTGGGATGGCTTGTTGAGTACGAGTTACTGTGATGAAGGAGCGTTTGCAGGGGGGGCACACAGATCCAGGCATGTTGTGCTTACAGAGCACTTGTCGGCTCAGAGCACTTTACAACCAAGGTAAAGTCTCATGATCCCTGTTTTACAAATGAGAAACTGAGGCACAGAGAGGTTTTTCGCTCATGTCACTAGCACGAACCATGACAACCAAACCCAGTGCCAGTACATTACTCGCTCCCCAATAGGGGCCTCATTAGCTGTGGCACAGGGGAGCAGTTGCCCCTCCCAGGACCTTGGTTCCCCTCTGACTTTTAGGCAGCTACTTTAAGCAGCAGATTTGGCCTGGTTTTCCCTCCGACATGAGAGAGAGGCAGCCGGGCCAAATTTGCGTGGCGCTGTGACCCTGTGCACCAGGTCGCAATGCCACTCACTTAAATTTGGCCTGGCAATTTTTTGGCCTCATGCTAGAGGGGCAACCATGCCAAATGCACTGCCCCAAGCCCATGAAGACGGGGATGGCAGATTGTCTCAAGCAGCCTCTGGCCAGCCAAATAGAAAGTAGCCACCACAGCCTGGGCCAATGCTGAGTGCAAAGAAAGCAGAGATGCCCCAGGCCGGCTATTGGTGAGTCACCCCTGATCCTGGCCCCCCTCTAGGATGGGACCAGCCCACGAACCCCTCACAAGCAGCCAGAGCCTCATCAGGAAGGCGAAAGCAGGGATTCAGAGGCAGCTCTGTCTCACCACTGATTTTTTTTCTGAACCAACACTCCTGCTCCCCAGCAGTTCCACAACACACACCTGGCGTCTGAACTTCCTCAGAGGTAAAACACAAGAGTCGGCTGCCAGTTTCTAACAAATCCACGTGCTACAGGACGCCAGCATGGAAGTCCTGCTCTATCTGCTCCAAAAACAACACTCTGTGTCCTCTGGCTAAAAGGGAAGGTTATGCTATAGAGGGGTTTGTTTAGGGCTAAGATGGATTCCAAAGACCTGAGCAGGTAGTTTGCAGCCTCTTTTATAAGAGGCACCTGGGTTTCCCCAGGTGCCCTCTTGATTGCCGCAAGACTATAAAAATGAATCATGGGCCTATGCTCTGGGAAGTTTTGGTAAGCAGCTAGGGAAAGCATAGTGTGCGATCAGGGTATTCCTGACCAGAGAGTGCTCTATAGCGTGAGTGCGTGCTATCAAAGAGCCCTTGTGCTAAGAAGCCGTTAGCTCTTGTAGCAATATACTACGTTTGTAGAAAACAAGGCTATGATGAACTATATCTTACCTGCTTGTACTGCTGTCGCTAGCACTTGTGCTCCCTTAGCTGCCAGTAACTAATTTAAAGTAAGGGTTTGGCTGGGTATTTTTAATGATTAGACACAAAGTCTAAGTCCCCCAAACAACAATCAAACAGTTAATGGTTTAGAACACCAGCCAACAGCAGTGTGTCCAGAAGAAAGGTTAACATAGCTGCTAGCAAATACTGCAGCAAAATACATCTTCCACCAGAAGCCCTAGTGAATAGAGGGGTTTTGTTGTGTTGGCTAAAAGTCACTCACCTGGGCTAGTTTGGGCCAAGGGAGCGTGGGGGAGTGAGTGGAACAGGACTCAAAGAGACACTGACATCTTTCCTTCACCCAATTGCTTTGTGCCTCTTATTGTGTCATGCATTAGAACAAAGTGAAACTGACTAAATATGGACGATGAAACAGACAAGACTTACATTCTTCCCGCCTGCATTACAAGAAGTAACAAAAGAGGAGAAAGGATGAAAAATAAATCAGCTATTTTTTCAGAATGCTTCCGTTTTTAATAGTCTGAAGTATGATCAGTAACACAAGTGTGGACAATTTTTGAAAATATATTATTTTCTCTCTACATTATTCCTCTAGCTCTGTAGCTGTATTTTGGAAAAAACAAAACAACCCACACACCTTACTGGTTTCATGTTCAGAGAGCTGCTGTCTATTTTTACTGTGCTGTGATGTTCAGTTCCATCCAGTGAAATAATAACCAGATAAACATTTAAAATTATTCTTTCTACTGCCTTTTTCTCAGCTTCTCCTTCTTCAAAAAGATGTTTTCCATACACACTGAAAACGTTTTACAGACTGTATTTAAAAACAACAACCTTTCATACGTTCAGTTTAATACACTTACATTGTCTTCCGTGAAATTAAGTCTCTGTGGTCATCCTGTGTTTAAAAAAGAATTCCCCACACTTACAACTTCTTCTTTCCTTTGAAGAATGTGACTCAGCCCTGTTCATGCTGGATGCAAATAGCACATCAGTGGAGTAGTGTTCATGTATTTTTCATCATATTACAAAATAAAGGTGATCTTTGTAGTGTAGCTTTTTATACTGTAATAAAGAGGACAGAACTGTGTCTGAATTTAGGATTTAAAAGAGTGGAGTATGGGCCTGATCTGAAGCCAACAGGTGTTTGTCCACTGACTTCACTGGCCTTTGGATCAGGGCTTATTTGTCCACCATATATTGCTTATACAAAGTTTGGATGTGCACCTTTACAATGACAAGGATGCAAGTGTCACATCTGCCTTCCATTGAACAAACACAACACCCCTCACTAATCTAAAATTCATTTAAAATCCCTAAACTGCTCTATAAAAATAGGAGTAAAAGAAGAATGACCATTCATTAAAAATCAAAACGTGTTGAATAGTCTTATTAACAAAATCTCAACAGCAGTGTCAGAATATTTTCAGCATAATGAATGGAGGGTGTGTACAGAATAAAGGTATTTTTAGCAGCACGGGAGTCAGGCTGCACTGACTGATACCCCTCCCAAACCCAGAGAAGCCACTGGGGATTGCACAGGGTAGGGATGAGGGCAGATTTCGGTTCATTTTTAGTCTGTAGCAGTGTCCATTGATTCTTGAAAGATGGGTTCCTCTGCTGTTTCTAATTATTGTCCAGAATATTGATGTGCACAAAAAGCATGGCTGATGGGTATGGGTCCCCATTCTTGGTCAAAAGATGAATGTGGCGGTAGCCTGGAATGAGGAAATACACAGACACAAATGTTCAGTTTCAAGTGATGACGAGGTTGCTACTCTGAATGTTTTACACACAACACCATGGGATTGGATGAGAGAGCAGCTTATTTTTTATACACAGGACTAGGGGCATTTCTACTGCCATGCGAAAGAGTGACCGTCCCACATCACTTCCATTTCCTACGCCCGAGTCTTCCCCTTCCCTGACCTTTAACTTTGGGCCACCTATAACCGGTACAACAGTGCACTGTGTTATGGTACAATCCAGTGATATGTTATGGCTCCACAATTACACTTTACACCTCTTCTACAGCTCTTTCCATCTGAGATCTCAAAGCCCTCAACAAGCATTACATGGTTCAGTGACTACGTTAGCGTTAAGTGACTTGCCCAGTGGCTCACAGGCAGTGGGAGAGACAAGAATAGGAACCAAGAATCCTACTACCGCCGCCCTAATCGCTGCTTCCCTATAGGTGCTACTCCATAAACAATATATGCTGATTTTTTTTAAAGGTCCCTACTTATCCAACCCTAATTACAGTGCTTATTAAGTTGCTAGGATTACACTGAGCAGAGTTCACATTTGACCAAAAACTGGGTCTGATCCCACTACATTTACAATAGATCACTCATGACCCTTGGTTTCGAATTGTGCCTGCAAAGATGGCAGCACCAGTATCGGAGTGCCCCTGAGGCACTGGCTCCGCACCGACCCCGACGGAAGTGAACTGCCTTCTGAATTAATACCACTGCTTCCTGTAGCACCTGGCCTTTCCGAGGCAGGCTGATAGCATGCTGCAATGAAGCTGCTTTATTTGAGAGTATGCTCAAACCACATCCTGTTTCCTGCTGCACGCCTGCGAGTGAATCCACTGTGTGTGTTTTCCCAGCATCTTTCTTACAATGTATTACTCTGATCTCCAAAACAATGACACCATTCTGCAGTGGTCAATGTAATGGCTTATGCTCGGCCTTTAAGGGAAGTCTCTGGAGGCCACGCTACCCTAATCCTAACAAACAAAGACTCAGGCAGTCAGTGAACAAGCAAGTGGTCCCAGGGTAACAGCTGGTCATGTGGGCAAATCCAGGCTGTTAGCCTCTCTAGGGCACCGCTTGTTTTTAAAGGGCCGAGCCGATGTGGTTTGCTCTGCTCCAGACAAAGCTCCTTACCTTGCTTTAGACAGGTAAAGGGGATGGTGAACTGTCCAATGAAGTCATTTTTGGTTGATACATCAAAGTCTTCCACCACAAAACGGACCAGAGCGAGTTCGGGGACGTCAATGTCAAATCCAAACTCTTCATCCCACTTTGGGTTGAAGCCTGAGCAAGGGAGAAGAAAAATAAACCCAGTCAGGCCAAGCTGAAATCCAGATGAGATGTCTTGCTCGGGAAATACGCTCCAGCTCAACCACAAGCAATTAGGCTTGACGCAGGACTCACGGGGTGGAATTCTCTGGCCCGCATTACGCAGGAGGTCAGACCAACTGATCAGAACGGTCTGTTCTGGCCTTAAAATCCATACATGAAATCTCAGTCCCACAGAAATCAATGGGCGTTTTGCCACTGACTTCAGTGAGGTCCAGATTTTGCCCTAGAAATCCATGAACTGATTGGAACAATGGGAACCACAAAATAATGGGACTGAAACAAGCGTTTTCATTCTACCGTGGCATTTCTGACCATACTTTGGCTCATGGGGTCCCCTCTGCTGCAACAAGACCCAGTGGCTCTCTTCTAGTTGTGGGGGATTGGCCTTATCCCCTTGGTACTCTGCAGATGCCCATCCATGGTGAACTGTCTCAGAGGCTGTAAATTCCCATTTGGGAATAAGCAACATTGACTCCTGTTGGGTGTTCATGTCAACTAGATTACCAAGGTGAGCAGAGATCTGCAGGGTCCAGTGCTGCACAAGTATTCTCCGAATTGACCCCAGGAATTCAATAGATAAAGCTTAAGGGGGAAGAGAAAATCCCTCTTTCATCCAAAATTCCCCACCTACCTACCTGTTTGTGAGTCCACGGCACGGCTACCTGACCTAGCCCAAATTGTGGTTCGTAGGGGGTCTTTTTAAAAGAAGCAGGATACTTCTCCTATGATGTAGTGGGTAGTTCAGATGCAAATCGCTGCTGAATTCAGGAAAGCAGTTGTCCCATATGGGGATAAGTCTAAGACAGGGGCGGGCAAACCTGAGGGCCGCATTGCGTTTAGTAAATTGTATGGAGAGCCAGTTAGGGGAGGGGATTGTGGCCCGGCCCCCACCTCCTATCTCCCCCCCCCGCCCCGGACTCCTGCCTCATCCAACTCCTCCCATTCCCTGACGACCTCTCTGGGACCTCTGCCCCATCCACACACCCCCGCTCCCTGTCCCCAGACCGCCCCCGGACCCTGGCACCCCTGCCCCTGACTGACCCCTGCCGCCCCATCCAATCCCCCTCCTTCCTGACTGCCCCCGCAACCCCTGCCCCCATTCAACTCCCTGTTCCTCCCCCAACCCCCCCAACCCCTATCCACACCCCTGCCCCCTGACCACCACCCCAAACTCCCCTGCCCTCTATCCAACGCCCCCTGCCCCCTTACCGCACTGCCTGGAGCTAGGG